CATATGGTCAAGAAAAAAAGCTTACATCTCTTTTTAAAATAAACATTTTATTTAAAAATATATATATTTTAAAAGAACACATGCCAACTTTGGTATTTTAGCCATTGCTTCTTTTCTCTTCCTGGCAACCCACAGTTCTTTCTGGTTATGTATAGCTGAGCCAAGGAGACCAACATGAAAACAACACCTCATGGGGTCCCCACAGAAAATGTGCGCTTGGTCTTTTTATTTCTTTACAAAGCACCGTGTTGTGTTTCAGCAAGGAGGGTTTCAAGCACCCAGCAAGCACTGCCCTTTCCACCTTGGAGAGGAACCCTGGGGGCATGTGGCTTCCCTTCCTTTGGAAAACATCAGAATAGCATCCAGAATCCCCATGGTTATACTCCCTTTCCATGAACACTCAGAAGCTGTTAAGCCATTTATGGGAAACTCATGTTGCCAGCAGGTGGTTAAAATAAGCACAAGAGACTTTCAGGAGTTTGTCTTAATTCACAGGGGAAATTGCCAAATCCTAGAATCCGAAGGAACTTACTGGCACATGATTGAACTCAATGAAGCCTCATGATTTCCCTGGCAGATGCTAGCAAAATTCTTCCAAGATCTCTTCTTGTCTTAAACTTATCTTTTCATGCATAGTCTCAACCTGGAGGCCTCTGAAAATGTGGATTCTCCGATCAAACCCAGCTCCCAAACACACCGGAGCCGCTCTCAGCACCAGAGGCCCGTCTTTTCCAGGGCCTGGATTCAGGGTCTATGAATACCATCTTTCTAACAAGGCACTGGCAATTTCAGCCTCTGCACCACCCTGTGGGGTGATGCTGGATTTATAGGAAAACAAAGAGCCCAGACCCTTTCACTCCAAGTTCTCTCATCTCTGATAGCAAGCAGTGTGCCAGCTTTGGTGGGCTTCCCACTGTGAGGGATGCGGCAAAACCCAAGGCGGAAGGTAGTGCCTTCACATTCCACAGTTTTTCTGCTAAGGACGGAGGCTCACCTTGGACACCCCGCCCCTGCAGTAAGTGTCCTTGTGGTCCAGAGAGCTTGCTATGGAGATGGAGGATCAGTGGTAGGGCAAGATGTTTTCCTCTCCCATCCCAAATTTTCATGGGTTTCTGTATCTGGAGATAAAAACAAATCCTAAAATGCACACAAAGTTTGACGTGGTGGGAGATATTGAAAGATCTCCAAGTGATCTACTACTGCTCTTTGGTCATTGAGAAAGAGACAAGAAACGAATGTTAGTGCGGGTGATAGCTCTTAGCTAAAAAGGAGCCCTCTGTTCTCTCTTCTGGAAAAATGAGGACGCCCTTTTTATCACAGCTGAGGGGTTTCTGGTGTGAGGACTGGGAAATTCCCAGTGTTCTTGCTTATAGCAACTGCAACTCCGCCGCCACTCAAATTCTGAACCATCTGCTTAGTCAGTTTGGTATTGGATATCTGAGGATTTGTGTGATCTGCACAGGTTAGACATCAAGTAATTATCTATTGGATGAGTAAATTGGATGCAGTTTTCAGCCACACCATGATCTGTTTAGAATTTAAATAATTTTTGAAAAGGAGTGTCTCAAATGCTTATTTTTAACTCATTCTATTTTTTTCAGATTGGAAATAAATGCTTTGAATGGCAAAGGTCTCCAGTTCTCAGACCCTTGACTACTCAGGTAGAGACGCTCTTGGTTTCCTTATTTATGGTGCAATCATTGCATTTCTAAAGGATGACTTTTCATCTAAAAATTTGTGGTTCACTTTTCAACATGTAATGCCTTAGGTGAACTGAGAGGTCCATAGATCAGGAAGTTGGGACCTTTGTTCTCCCCTCTCTCCCTCCCTCCTGTTCTTCTTTCCCTCCGTTTCTCCTTCTTCCTTCTTCCCTTCTTTCCTTCCCTCCTCCTCCCCTCCCCCCTTTCCTCTTTCTCCCTCATAATATAATATGTGTGTCACGTCAATAACATTGTTAGAAGCAGGGCTACGACTAATAAGCACCAGCTTAATGACAGCATTCGCACAAATGAATTTTCTACTCCTTTGGAAAGTCTGAACCTAAGGGACTGCATCAGCATTCAAATGTCTGCAGGTCTGCTGCGCCATGGGGTGCCAAGAGTATTAAGAAAACCACAGGTAGTTATTTTCAGGTCTAAGATAATTAAGAAACATGGATGTGGCCATCTTTATAAGTCTCTGTACATCCTTTTATCAGCCCAATTTGTCACCAAAACAGAAGACACAACTAAGAGATTAAAAGAACTTAAAAATCCCCAATAGGAGACAGATGAATTAACATGAATGATCTGATCCATGGAGAGAAGCCGACTTCATCAAATTTCTCCCAATTATCCCTGGTTTTATCCCCAAAATACACCCGAGCTATGAAGAGACAGAGTGAGTATGCTGTGTGGAGACTGTGGAAGGAGGTTGAGATCAATAATCCAGGGTCTGACCTGTGTTAAGTGTGTTGGTTTGCAGCAGCAAGTAGGGTTCGTCTTTTGTCAACTGTGAGGTGTGCAAGGTAATAACCTAAAAAGATCCCTAAAGATGCAGAAACTTGCAAAGTGCAGAGGCCTCCTAACCAAGTCTATTTCTTTGGATGGGACGACCCAAAGGAAAAAATAATTAACACTCAGACTACTGCCTCAGAGGAGGGACACTATGAGTTTGTTTTCCAAAGGAAGTAAAGGGTGGGGAGGATAACATACAAATCACACAACGTAACACATGAAAAATGTACTGACCAGCAAGCTTTGTTAAGATCCAAATAGAATTTCAACATCTGAGAAATAAACAAATGTGAGGAATGTGTTAATAAGGGTTTCTTCCCCGTACTTCATCTTCAAAGAAAAGATTGGTCATCCCCTCCAGTCCCCCCTAGATTTTTGGTTCTGATGACCGACATAAAAGCAAAATGAAAAATTTACCATGTGGATCTTTTAAAGCGCAATGCAGATCAAGGAATGTAAAAGGGTTTTAATGTTCCTTTTATGCTCTCCAGGAGAGACTGTATTGCCGATTCCAGCTGCTAATGGTGAAGCCGTTCTGTCTTTCACATCCATGTCCATTGTCAATATGAGCTTGTTCACAGTAAGCAAGTGGCTGTGAGTCATCGGCTGGAGCCTCAGTCACACACAGAGAGGCAATGTGTAGTCTGGTTGGTTAATTAGAAACTCGTAGTGAGAAAGACCAAGTATCATTTCACAGCAGATTGAGGCTTAAAGGTTTTTGGCATAGATCTCTGTAACACTGCTTTACAAGATTCATACACACATGTGTATGTGTCTATACACATGTATGTATATATGTGTACATACATAGACACACACACACACATATATACATATTCCCCACCCCTAATAAGCTCTGGCAGCTTTCAGAGTAACAGTCACCAAAAACTCTGTTCACACAAGTTTTACAAGTTAACAATGGAATGATTTCTAAATCTTTGGTTTATCAAAAAAAGAACTTCTAAAATCACAACATTTTTGGTTATTTTCTCCATAAGTGCACAGTGAACAACATTTTTTACAAAATAAGAAAACAGTGCCTTAGTGATTTAAATTAAAACAACAACAACAGCTACTTTCTACGGCATGCAACACTATAAACATGGTGAAGCCACAGTGCACCTTGGGGAGACCGTCCCGACAGCTGAGTTTTCCAACCCCCAGCACAAGCGTGAGAGGTAATGAGGAATGCACATGACACCACTGTCTTTTCTTCCTCCCACTGTTTTCAATGCACCATTGTGTTTTCTTTCAGAAATCCATACCCAAAACACTCTCCTTGTATCTCTACAATATAATGATTTCCCATTTCCCAAATCAACGATTGCTGCAAATGAAACGAGGGGAGAATGAGCGTGGTGACTGATGGGCCAAGTCACCAGTTTCTTCCTAAAGACATTCTTTCAACTTCCTTCTGCAGAAAATTATGCATATGGAGAATGAGTTTTCTAGGAAAACCTGGAGGTCTAGCTTTTTGAAATATGGCTTTATTAGGAGTATGGCAGCTTATTAGATCTACAGTAAGAAGTCCTCTTCTCCCAATGTCGGGGCAAAAATAGAAAGATATCTGAAAGAGGAGCGAGAAAGGATTGGTCTCTTGAAAGAAAAGTTGAGTGGAAGAAAAATAAACAAGACCATGTCCATTCCAGAAAAAGAAGTTGGACCTCACACATAGTCCTGTTATAATAGCCTATGGCTTACTAGTATTCCCATGATATAGGAAACAGTGTTCTCTAGCGCTGTCTGAGTGATCCCTGATATGGCTCCCTGAGGCTAGAGCGGTCTTTTCATCTGCTTAGGTCAGCACTAGTCTTTGGAACTAAGGAGGGTTGTGCTGGAGAACCTCCCATGGCAGGAGTTTCTTGCCTGCTTCACAATCCTTCCCACCACAGAGAGAGTGGGAGTGATGCAGCTAATTGGTTAAGAAAAAGAGAAGTTCCAGGAAGGGTTCTCTGCAACAATGGTGGGTCAGTTTTTATCAGTGACCACACAGACTCCTGGGTAGGAGGTTGGAAATGGTTTCAATGGGGCAGCTTTGTGGCCAAGGGATACTGAGTTGACTCATTCTATCCTGGGAATGAATTGGTTCTGCCCCTCTATTCTGCCTCAAGAACTCCGTACCTGAAACTGGGCCTTACTTGTATTGTGAAAGACAGTAATGGAGCTATGAGAATCAGCCTCCATCACAGGAGTGTCTTCTATAACCTTTGATGGACTGACTTCCTTGAACTCCCAAGTTTACATTTTCTTTCCAATAAATTCATGAGAAAAGCTTACAAAGTGAGATTATGCCCCAACAATGTCTTAATTAAAAATGGGCTAGAAAATATATTGGTGTTTGAAAAGGTAGTGAAAGATTTTTTTTTTGGCATTCTTGATCTGAGAAAGCACATTTTAAGTGCATTGCTAAAAAAATCAGTAACAGTCATTGAATGTTGGTAAGTATTACTATATATATAGTAATTCTTGGGAAAACAGAACCTACAGTTCACTCATCTCTATATATAAAGGACTCCTATTTGTGCTGTTGATAGTCATAGAAATCTTCACTGCTTCTTTTAAATTTCTTCCTCCTCTGCCTCCCCCTCCTCCTGCTCCTCCTTTTGGGTAATACAATACAAGTATCTGTGGTTGTAGAATTCCTATTGGCCTTCCTTAGCATTTTTCCATCAGGCATTCTACCACTGCTGTAAGTGCAGGTCCATGGGGGAATTCAAATTCAGATCTGTGACATCCAGAAAATCGATGTTGAAGATGCTAGGCCCGCTGGTGCTGAGGGAGCTGAAGGTTGGTGTGGAACTTGGGGGAGTGAGGTCCAACCACTCCATGGTTTCCCAGGGAGATTCAGTGAAGCTTAACTGCAGCCCACTGCTGTCCACAGAAGAAGGTGAAAACTGAGTGTGTATCGGGGAGAGGGGGCCTGGCAAGATCTCGTGCGCATTGAAGAGGTCTTCTGCAGCCTTCCCAGAGAACCCATCCATTATGCCATCGAAAGAGGGCTCCTCACTCCCAATTTTTAGAAGGGCAACATCGCTCACCTTTCCCAAGGGGCTGTGGGAATTTAATAAGACTTCAAGGTGCTCATCACTGTCTGTGCCGTAGTGATCAAATGAGAGCTGGCCTCCTGAAGACGCTTGTTCAAAGGGAGCAGACGGCTTGGGGAGGGCAGCAGTGGGGCTTCGGGAAGACCTAGGCATCTTTGGGACCTTTTGAAGACATGAATGATCCTCTCTGGCATCAGCTGGCATTTCTGTTGGTAAAACACAATGGGAACTGTCAAATCATCTCAAACAGAGCATGCCACACAACGCGAATCTTTGGAGTGAACGAGTTACACTCAGATGCAGGAGGTGGCTATGCTTCTGTGGTCACTGCTGGCTACCCTCTCTCATTTCTAGACGGCTCTATGCATCCCTATCCCCCTGACCCCGCCGGGTCTCTCCTCACATCCTTTCTTTCTGGAAATTTCACTTTGTGTTTATCAAATTCTCAAAGTGGGTTCCTTTACCTGCTCCTTCACTGACACCTGTCTGTCCCCTGAGGACATTCCATCCTCTGTTACATCCTCAGTGTGGGCTCCTGTACTTCAGAGCAGAAGGTGAGTCTTCCTGCTGCCACCCTCTGATTGTTACTCCCATACCTTATAACTCCTGGCTTTCAGGGTCATGCTGCTCTCCCCACCATCCTACCCCACACATGTCTCCTCATCCACTGAAAATTCTATTCCCTAGTTCATTGCCTTTTCCCCACTTCAACTCCTGTCATTATCTGTAATTTCAGCATCCTCAGAAGTCACCCATTGTCCAGCTGGCCTCTCAGTTCCTTGACATCGCCATCGCCCTCAACTTCAGTGATTCCTTCATTTTCACTCTGTTGGACACACCCTGGACCTTATCATTTCCAAAAACTTTATCTCTCTGAAAGCTCAATATCAAGCAAAATTTCCCACTCTCAATGCATCCCCTCCCATTCCTCTAACTTACCCAACAACAACAATTTCTCAGCCACAAGGAGTCACTCTAATCTACAGACACCACTATTTTATCACCATCCATCCACCCCTTCTGGTTTTCATTTCTTTTCTTTCCAATCCATATTATCTGGTCCACCATTATATGGTGGAACAACTGAACAACCGGTCACTATGATGTGCGCTGACCACCAGGGAGCACGCGCAGAACACGGTGGGTGTCGGCTGTGGTGGGATGGTGGAGCGGGGGTGCCAGACCAAGGTGGGGTGCCAGGCACTGTCATTGGGGTGAGCCTCTGGTGGTTACTGAAAATTCTTTGCTCCCATGTGCTCTGGTCACGCTCGGCGCGTGCACCTGCTGCCGGCGCCAGCCCCACTCGCACCCGCTGCTGGAGCTGCCGTTCACAGCTGCTGCTCATCTTTTCCTTCTTCTCTCTTGCTACAATGGAGGAATTGCCTGTTCTCTTGCTTGTTGTCAATCTCCCTCACCAGACTGCAAACTCCCCAAAGGTGGGGACTTGGTCCAGTGCAGCCTGGAGCCTGGACTCTCTTTCTCAAGTGTTGTTACTTGAGGTTTTTTTGTTTTCTTTCTATCTACACTTTCTCCTATGTGACCTTATTCATTTGTATGGTTTTATATTCTAAGTAGATATTATACAATTAAAAAAATAAATACATGACTTAAAAGGGGCAAAAAGAATATGTTGATAATTTTTATTGCTAGCTTGAAAGACATTCAAGCATGAATGGACCATCTAATGGGAGATTAATAATTGAATATCATTTTGAATAGGTAGCACAAAACTTGTTTTATCTGCTCCATCCTTCTCACAGTGAAGATAGGGACACTGGGATTAGAATGGTAGAGAGAAATAGTATAAAACGAGGAAAGTTAGGGAACAGTTGGAACATGAAACCTGTTAAAATGATTGGTGGAAATGTTCCAAGGACAAAGGGACAATGGCGGAGAGGAGTCATCCACAATCCTTCCTTCGTCTGCTCCAAGGTGGACAGGAAGCTCGGATGGAGTGACCACTGTACCCATAGACCAGTGGTTCTCAACCTTCCTCATGCCGCAACCCTTTAATACATTTCCTCATGTTGTGGTGACCCCAATTTCATTGTTACAAATTGGACATAATTAAAGCATAGTGATTAATCACAAAAGCAATATGTAATTATGTATGTGTCTTCCGATGGTCTTAGGTGACCCCTGTGAAAGGGTCATTCAACACCCAAAAGGGTCACGACCCACAGGTTGAGAACCGCTGTCCTCTACCCCTTCCAACTCTCCCATCCACACTTGTATACTTGTTTCGTCTATCTCCTTTCGTTCATCCTCTCTATATGTCCACCCGCCTCCCACTTCTTCTAGCATCACTTCTTCAAAATAGACTCACCTAGGCTGAAAACCAACTTCTGCACATGGGCCACGAAGTTTCAATCGCACTGTATGTGCATGCCCACATGTGGTATTTTGTGGAAGAGCCACACTGAAGGGCCCAAAGAGCCGCATGTGGCTCGCGAGCCGTGGGTTTCCAACCACGGCCCTAGAGTACATGCAGGTGCAGAGCATCCTGATGGGCGGAACACGGGCAGTCTTACCTCCACTTTCAATGAGGACATCCAGGAGTTCGTCCATCTGCTGACTGCGAGTCATTTGCTATTATGAATTAACCAAAGGAGGACAGAGAAGTCAGAAGGTGGCTCCCTCTTCGATAGGAAATCATTAGAAGCAGTGCCACATATTTTTGAACTAGGTTTGGCCAGTTATATTTTTAATTGTGGTAAAATACACAAAACATAAAATTTATCATCTTAACCATTCCTAAGTGTACAGTTCAGTGATATTAAATACATTCACATTGTTGTGCAACGATCACCCCTATCCACCTCCAGAACTGCTCTCATCTTGCAAAAGTGAAACTCTGTACCCATTACACAA